TGGCTTGGCTTGCCGAATGTCCTGCCGAATGGTCTCCCGGAAATAGCCACTGATGCCCAAAACAGGGGAGGGAGGGAAGGAGAAGGAATGGTGGGGCCCACCCCCACCCTCTCCAGCCTCCTCCTGGTGCACCCTCTCTCCAGGCCTCTCTTACCAAGAGTCCGTGGGCATGGCCTCCAGTAGACGGGCAAGCCGGCCCACCAGGGGTGTGAGCAGGGCCTCAGTGCCCACCCCAGCCTGGACTAGCCCATCAGCCAGGCCCCTCAGGAGGCCTGCATCACCACACAGCACCTGACCAGTGGCTGTCACCACATAGGGGATCAGTGTGTAGCTGCCAACACAATCCTGGTGGGAGGGAGGCAGGAATCAGTAGAGGTCAGAAGTCAGCAGGTTAGAGAGGACCAGGGAGGGGGTCAGAAGTGAGCACCAGTGGGGTTGGAATAGCAGAGAAGGGGCACACTTCAGGAAGGGAAGCAATAGAGAGCACAGGATCACACAGCTGTCAGGGGGTATTAGGAAGGTATTAGGGAGGAGGCCAAGAAAGGTAGCAGGGGGTCAGAGGTCATAAGGGAGGTCAAGGGCACATTGGAGTGTGGGCTGGATTCTGCTCACTGAGTTCTTCTGGAAAATGTCCTCCTGCAGGGAATAGACAAATACTGGTATTCTGGTTAGGCCCCACCCCTGCCCTGTGTCTTCCCCCACCAGCCACTTGGCCACCTACCCGCAGGGCCTGCAGGTCAGGGAGGTCAGGCTGGGAGCAGAGAAGCACATTGTTTGTCATGCTGAAGCTCTCACGTACACCAAGGTGGTAGAACAGGGAAGGCTGTGCCAGGGAGCTGCTCACCTCCAGCACCACCACATCTGTGGGTACACAAGTGGAGGCCTTGAACCCTCAAGCCCAGCTGGTGGAGGAGGAGGCTGGAGATCCATCCTGGCTCCTCCTGCCTTCCTGTGTGACTCCAGCAGGATCCAGTTTTGCTCCTGGCCTCAGTTTCCCCTTTTTAGGGTCCCTTTGGCTCTTACACACAACTGGTATCTGTGATGTTTCAGGAGAGAAGTTGAGCTCAATGGGCTAGGACCCTCATCTCACTGATCAGAGCCTGTGGGCACTGGGTACAGAGGAGAGGAGGCTGTGCCCAGCCCAGAGTCTATTCTAGGCCATTTAAGAGGTAAGAGTTGGGCAAACACATAAGTTCCCTTCCCTGGGTCCTAAACCCAATCTCTTGAAAAGGGCTGGCACCAGCAGTGTGTAGATGTGCTGTGCTGTATGTGTGCCTGTAAGTATCTGTATGTGTGTCTGTGTCTGTGTGTAGATTTACTGTGACTGGATCTTTATGTGCCATAGCGTCTATGAGGGCCCATGTATTGACATGAATATGATTTGTGACTCTGTGTAAGATTCTGTGTGTCTTTGTGTTCTCGAGGGCGAGTCAGCCTTCATTTGTAGGCTGCGATTTTGTAGATATCCTGCAAGCACGGTGCCCGGACTCTTGGATAAACAAATAAGTATGGGTGGGGCGGGCGGGACCTTAGTGTTGGTGGAAGGGAGGGGTGACCCACACCACACGGGAATATAGCCTCCTTTGGCCCCGCCCCTGAGCGGACCTGCTCCGCCTCCAGCCCCGCCCATTGCCTCGGGGCTACTGGGGCCTCATAACCCAAGTTTCCTCTCCCAGAATCTTGTCGGTCAGGTCTCATCGCTCTCCTTTTTGCATCTCCAGCCCGATCTTCGAAATGCTAGGGACTGAACTCCAGCCCCCTATGTATAGCCCCTTTCCTAGTCCAAGCTCCACCTCCCAGAATCCGCCCTCATAAACTCTGTGCAAAATCATCCGGAGGCGGAGTTCTCCAACCCCACTCCCGAAATACCTCACACTGCCCGGCTCCTAGCCCTGGCCAATCCTAGCGCCTCTCCCTAGGCACTATGCGGACTCCAGAGTACTTAACTCTCAACCCTGAACGCCGGTACCGGGCCTGGATACACTAAGTACCAGCCTAAGTCCGGCCGCACTCCAGATGCCCTAAATTCCACTTTTGTCAGGTTCCCGCCTCGAGTCCCTCAGCTTTAGCTCACCTTATAACCTCCCAGACCTCGTATCTATCTCAGTCCCACCCTGGAGTCGCCAAGCCCCGCCCCTAAGCCCCACCCCGGCTCTCGGCCCCACCCCCAGCGTGCTCTCACCCGCATTGTAGAAGGAATCCAGCGCTGCTGTGTCTCCCAGCATCAATGTGCCAAAGGGCAGGCTGCGCAGCTGAGGTCGCGGCCGTGGCCCAGGCTGCTGCGCGCAGGCATCGCGCAGGCAGCGGAGGGGCAGAGGCTCTGCCTCGGCTCCGGTCTCGCACTCCACCCGGGGCTGCGGCTCCCGGGTCAGCACATAGACCACGCTGAGCGGCCGGCTTCGAGCGCAGCTCCGGCCGTGGGGCGCCGCGATCGACCGGCCCCGGCTCAGGGCCTCGGCCAGCGGGTCCTGCCAACAGCTGCCCGCGCGCTCTAGGGGTTCGCCGCGGGGGCACTCGCCATGCGGGGGCGCTAGGGCTTCGAGCGCCCGACTCTGGACACCCGGGGCCAAGCTGGAGCCAGGGATGACCGATCCAGGGATCTCTAAATCAGTAATCCGGACGAGACTGGGAATCTCCTAGGAACCAGAGATCCAAAGTCTGTTTAGAGGTCCCGTTCCCAGAATCTGGAGTCCAGGGCGAAATCCGGGCTCTGACTTGAAAGGTCTTGAGGATTTGAAATCAGGAATTGGGTCGCGGGAATTTGGGGCATCGAGTGATCCGCGGCTCAAAGTCACTTGGGAGATCCCGGGAATCGGTCTCACTGTGCCGGTCAAGCTGACTCCGCAGGAGAGTGTGCGTCGTCGCTCTCTCCTGCCCGGACTTGTAGCCGGGCCAAGCCCTTTCCCCGCCGACCGGGAAAGCTCCGCCCTCGGCCCTGGGGCGGCACCGCCCCCTAGCGGCCTGGGACTCGGCCCCTCCTCTCCCTCCTCTCCCGCTAGAACCTCTGAGTCCAGTCGCTTCTGGAATGTCCTGTGCCCCTGTGCGCGCCAACCGTCATAAGACGTGTGGTCAGGCCGGAGATGGGGAAGAGGCGTAAGCTGCAGGTTCTGTCCTGCAGGCATCTGTTGAGTGAATGGACCTTCAGACACATCAGAGTGTGCAGAGCTCGGTAAAGCGCACAGGGAAGGATTGGAATGGGGGAAGTCTGTTCCTCCACCTGCCATTAGCCCTAGTATGAGACTTGGCATCTGAGCCCTCTTGCCAGGGGGCTGCTTTCCCCAGAATTCAATCAGCTAACATTTGACCTCTACTCAGAATGTGACCGTGGGACCTGAAAAGGGTCCCTATAAAAACATTTTTTCTGCCCACCTGAAAGAGGCCTTGGGCTACAGCAGCTTTCCAGCTCCAAATTCCCAAGAATCCCTAAACTTTTCTCGTGAATTAGCGAGGCAGCAACCTACTATAAACCTCAGTGGACTCTGAAATCAGAAACTGGGGACTTAGAGAGGTTGAGTAACTTGTTTAAGATCACTTAGCCACATGACAGAGCAAGATGCAATCCCAGTATTCCCTATCAGACTACAGATATCAGATTCTTAACTATTTATTGCTCTGCCACTTTCTAGACTATGTCTCTGGCAAATTAACTGCTTGATAAATGCTAGCTCAATAACTGCTTTTTCACTACCCTGTGGCCCCATGGAAATAAAATGTGCCTTCCTTGGTTTGTCCCTGAGTTCAAACCACTTCCTAGTGGAACAGGCAAGAAATAGCAGAGGGTGAGAACTTGGCTTACAACAGAGGCTGGGGTGGAAAGAGCCATGGGCAACAGAGAGGGTGAAAAAGCTGTGCAACTCCCACCACAAAACCATCTACTTGCCAGACCTGGAGGGCCCAAGGGCACTGTCAGTGGATGCTTGAATCCTTTCCAAGTCTTCTTCACTGTAATGCTCCTCTGGCTTTGGCTTGCACACTTCCAGAGATGGAAGCTTCGCTGCTTTATGAGGTTGACCCTTCCATCTACTGGAAGGAAAGTCTTCCTTGCATGGAGCTAAAATCTATGTCCTTGTTCTGCCCTCGAGTTTTTCCCAGTAATTAAGAGTCCTGCAAGCCAGGTAAAGGTTAAAATAAGTTTATTTTTAATGTGGATAGAAGAGCAGAGGCAGTTAGCAGTGGGGAAGAGTAGCGGAGGGTCCGGAAGCTGTACAGGAGAGATAAGGGTGCCGGCTGCCAGGGTGCCCTAGCAAAACATCATGTGAACCTTGCGGTAAGGGTGGCCCATGCCGAAGCCTGAGGCCCAGTCAATGTCATACTTGTGGGCGGTGGTCCGAGATACTGCATAGCACCTGTTGAGACTGGATTGATAGCAGGATCCATACCACCAGGCACCATGGACAGTCGCCACGCAGTTGCCCCCAGCTATATCATGGTCGGCGTCATAGGTGGTAAAGGGCATCCCGCTGTGGTGGCTCAGGGAGTCCCCTGGCAGGGAGGGTGTGGGAGGCACATTGGTGCTGGCACCATGTCTAGCACCCTTGAAAAAATGATCTCACAGAACCCTCAGAGCAACTGAGAGGTAGTATTATCAGGCCCCATGAGAAAACAGCAGTGCCAAGGAGCCAGGGTGTTTGCCCAAGGTTACTCAGCTAGTCACAAGGGCACTGGGATTTGAATTCAGGACTGTGGCTCCAAAGCCACCAGCTCTTCCCTCTGCCTTGTCCCCTCCCAGAATCCCCAGCTTCTCTCTAGCTCCTTTGTCTCTTCCTAGCTCCCATTAGCAGCCCGAGCAACTCTGTCAGGGAGAGCTGGGAGGGACTTTTCATATGCCTGGGCAGGAAAGGGGGCTTCCCTGAGGCAACTCCTCATAACCACTTCCCTCTTTCAAGTGTCTCAACAGTTGCTGTTTCTGAAGAAGAAGAAGAAGAAAAAAAAAAACCCTTCCCCGGTTTTTCTTCCAAAGCAGATAATGCTAACATTCAGCAGGGCCTCAGATGGCTCCACAGCCTCCCTCCTTGTTTCCTTGTTCATTTTACAGAAGAAAAACTGAGGCTCTGATGAGGAAGGGACTTGCCCAGGGAAACAGTAAACGACAGAGCTGGATTCGAACTCAGGTCTGTTTGCCTCCAGAGCCCAAATTCTTCACTCTTGTACTACCCTGTCTCATGATTGCCATTTCTCAGATGAGGACACTGAGGCCCACAGAGGGGAAGGAATAGCCCTGGGTCATTATGGAGGTCATTATGGTCGTGCTGGAAATCTAGTCTCCCTCACCTTCTTCCCCTATTGCAGGGCCCTACCTTATGGTCACTCACCTGCAGTGCCCTCTGAGAACTTGCCCAGCACCAGCTGGTAGTGATCTGCCTCCCCAAGGAGGTAGAAGGACCCATAGCGAGCAAAGGCGCAGTTGCCATTAAAGTCTTCCAGCTCCACCCACAACTCCCAGTTATCTGGAGTGTGTGTGTGGGTGGGGGACAAGGATGAGGAATCCTCAGACCTCAAACTGCTGGAGGAATACACCTCAGGCTTCCTTGACCCTAGCTGGGAACTTACCCTGGAGAGTCAACTGATCCAAATTCTCATTTCCCGGCCAGAATTCAGACTCCTGGCTCCCAAAACCTGCTTTATAAGAGGACCAAGAGCGGAAGAAATCCACAAAACCATCCTGTCACCTCTGGAACACCTAGGGAGGCAGAGAAGGTCAGCACACTAGCCATTACTCCAAGCTGGGCATGGGATGAGAAGCAGGGGGCAATGGCAGCTGAGAGTAGATGAACTGTAAAATGCGGACTGATACTTCCCCCCTCTTTGGATTGGGGGCTTGTTGATAAAGTGTGAGTCCAGGTGAGCTTTGCCTATGATGAACTCTACGTTCTCTTATTTTTTACCAACACTCGACGTCACACCAAAGCCTTGCAAGCCCTGGGGGGAGACTGGAATGATGGAAATATCATTCCTGCCTTCTGGAGATGGTTAGACCTACTGGGTCTTATCATAGTTTACTATGATAAAAACCAAGACATTAGAGCAAAGAGGTCACCTCCAGAGACCCAAGCTAGACTCTTGGCCTTACCCTGATGCTCTCCCCACCTCCATTTCCTCCCTCAAGCCAAGCAGTCCCCAGGCCCTGTAGAGTTTCTCTCCTAAATATCTCTCAGTCTCAGTGCCTCTATTTCCGTTGCTGTCGTCACCCACTGTCGTCTTCTGCTCGGACTTCTGTAGTCCTCCTAACCTGTGTCCCTGTCTCCCCTCTTGTCCCTCCCTGCAGTGTATCTTCCATGTTGTCATCTTTCTAAAACATAAGTCTGACCTGGTTACTCTCTGCTTGAAACTCTTCCATGGCTTTCCATTGCCTTCTGTGCTCATTCAGTGCCCTCCATGAACTGGCCTTTGCAGAGGCCTTCAATTCATGCTTGACCCACACCAGTAGACCTCAGCCAACCACTCATCCCTGTTCTTAGCTCACTCACATGGTCTCCAGAAACCCTCTTGTACCGTACTGCCTTGCTGCATTTGCCTTTCCCATTATCTGGAATGCCCTTCTGCACCTCATCTGTCTAGAGAACTTCTACATAGCTTTCGAGGCCTTTTCAACTGTAAAGCCTTCTCAGACTTCTTTAGCCAGACCCTCTGGGAGCTCAGTAAACATTTTATCTAGTGAATTACTCTAAAGAATGCCTTGGCTCCAGTGGGCTCTGGCTCCCCCTAGGGGCTAAGGGGCAGAAGTGCCCAGTGGGCCTGTGAGTCCCTTCTCCCCAACACTCATCAGCCAACCACCCCCTGAAGTGTCCATGTCACAAAAGACTGGAAGGACTCTGCCCTCCATGTAGGCACAGGTGGTACCAGCCGTTCAAGGTGGCACCTCAGCTTAGCAGCTCCTGGCAGCTCCTGGGGCCTGGACACAGAAAGAGGAACTGAGGGGACCCCCAATTATGTCTCAACCCCCACTCCATGGGCAATGGAAGAAGCTAAGTATGGGACCCCGGGAGCCCTCTCAGTTCTTTCAGGCTCCTGAAGGGGGTTCTAGGGAAGGCTGGGCCACACCTAGTGGTCCACCAACACCCCAGTACCACCTGGTTCCAAGTTTCTGGCTCTTGGGAAGGCTGCCTCACCCTCCTGGCACCAGAGCAGGTTCGCTGGATCTCCTGCCCCCCGGAAAGACTGAATGTTGGCTGTGAGGTCTGAGTATCGCCAAGGGGATGCCTGCAGATCCCCAGAGGGGAGGGTGCCCAGGCCCTTCTCGTTATCCTTCCCACTCTTCCCAGCCTTCCATCCCTCTGTGGGGGCACAGCCACAGCCAGTAGCTGAGCAGCAGCTGAGCAAAGCCCTTCCCCTCTCTAGCCCAGGGACAGAACAAAGAAAGAAGAATCCCTGATCCCATACACTCACCAGGCTCACCCTTGGGGCCCATCTTGCCTGGTGGTCCAGGTTGCCCTGAAATCTCAGAGGCAGAGATACTATAAATCTCATTCCATGCCCAAGGCCAAAAAACAACAGGGATTCGGAGCCAGAAGTCAATCCCAGATGCACTTTCCACTGGCTGTGATGGTGGAAAAAGGACTTACTCTCTCAGAGCGTTACTTTCTCCCTCAGTAAGATGGGGAAAACTTTCCACCTGCCTCACAGAGTCAATTTAGGGTGCTGGGCACCCAGCCTGGAGCCTGACACACAGTAGGCTCCTTGTCCCTTTGTCACGACCTATCCGCACAGTTATTGCTGTACCCCCAGCCTCCCCAGTTTATCCCTGGCCCTTGCCTGCTTTCTAGTATCCCTCACCTTGACGACCTGGAGCTCCCTTCTCCCCAGGACTTCCTGGAGCTCCAGGACAACTGGGCAGGAGGACAGTTTGCTGGCTTCCAGTTCCCTGGGTTCTGCAGGGAGACACAGGGCCAGTCGGGTACAAGTGGTCATAGGTGGAGTGGGCATGTCTCTCCTAGACCCCTCTGCAGTTCTCTTTCCAGCTCCCACATTGTAGCTGTCAGGATACTTGCCTCAAGGCTTTGCACTGTTTCCATCTATTTATGTGCAGAGCCCAGATCATCAAACTCCCACCCTGCTCCTTGAGGCTAGTGAGCCTGGGTGGGAGAAGGACACCCAGGAAGGGAACGAAGATGGGATGGTGAGGATGGTGCTCTAGGCCCCTACCTGGGCAGCTGAGGTGGTCCTGGGTCCTCAGACAGGCAGGCTCCCTGAGCAAGAGGAGCAAAAGGGAGAATGGGGTCCATGAGAGGCCCATCTTGCTGGTGCCCTTGAGAGAAGATGCCAGTTTGTAAAAAGGCCAGGCTGGTGGAAGTACCTAAAGGAAGAGTTCCGTCTATTGTCCTTCCCCAGGAACACGCCCCCCCCCCCCGGCCCCGAAGCTGGAGCCCGTAGGAGGTGGGGACATTTCCTCCCTCAGCCACAGAGAGAATGGGCTCCCTGCCCTTGCCAACTGGGATGGAGTCTGACTTCTGATCCTGGCCTCCAGGGCTCTCCAGCCATCTCTCCAGACCTCTGCACTCATAGGGGTTTTTCCACCTTTGAACCTTAGCTCATTCTGTGCCTTTCATCTGGAATGCCCTCATCTTCATCTCTACCATGAAGCTCTGCCTGTTCATGAAGGTCCAGCCCTAATGCTAGCTGCACTAGGAATCCTTCCTCAATCCTGTCGACAGTATTAAAGACCATTGCTATTATTTGTTGGGCACCTACTGCACTCCACAAGTCATGCTCCGTGCAATTTTTATGTCACCATTGGTCCTTACACAGCCCTGCTTATAGTCATTACTTTTGGCCCTGAGTTATAGGCCTGATACAAAGGTGTTCAATAAATACTAGTTAAATGAAAGAATAAACAAGGAGAAACTAAGGCCCAGAGAGAGGACATGACTTGCACTCTCTCTGGCACTTATATGCCCATAGCCACAGAGATTTCATCCAAGCCCTATGCCCCCCACCAGGGCACCCTTAGCAAAGTGCCCACCCTCATATCCCTTGGGGAGCCCCTCGCAGGACCTAGGAAACAACTGCTAATATAGGCCAACTGCATGGGCAGCCCTGGCAGGCAGGCCTAGAGGATGGAAGAGCAGTAAGGAAGCAGCAGCCATGATCTAGATGTGAGGGGCAAGGTCTGAGCTAGAGAGGGACATCAGGTGATAGGGGAGGACAGGGAAGCCTCATTCGTTTATTCATTCATTCATTTATTCATTCATCCATCAAATCCTCCCTGAGGGCCTCCACTATACCAGGCCCAAAGCTTGTGGGCGTGGGGAGGACTGAGGTACAAGGAGGCATTAGGGAAGGTGGAGGCTGAGTTTGCTAGACAGGATTAATCCATGAGATGGACGCTCTGAGGCCATGCAATTTGTTTTGGGAATCTGTCCTATCCAAACTCTCTCACAGGTATGCCAAGATCTGTGGGCAAGCCTGCTGATCATGGTGCTGTTTATAATAAACATGGAAATGACCCAACTGGACAGTGATAAAATGCAGGCAAATAAGTTATCACCATGTGGACAAGTGATAGGGCAAATCTGATCGACAATGAGAGGGGCAAAGTTGCAAAACAATACGTACAGTACGATCTCACTTTGTATTTTAAAAAAGCTAAATGCTGTAAATTCACAGGAAAAGGTCTGAAACGTATTGTGAACCACAGTTATTTCTGGGGGGTGGGACCAGGGGAAGTGATTCTCACTCTTAATATAAACTTCTGTATAATCCTTTTGTTCCTTACAGGCATTTACTACTTTTGAAAATGAAAACATCTGATAAAAGAAATTTCCGTAACTAAGTGGAAAGCCAGCAGGAGGTGGGGGTATTTCCTCCCTCTGCCAAGGAGAATGAGCATTATTCCAGCCAGCACTTAAATGCTGGTTGGAGAAGCCAGGGGAGCGTGATCCAGGAAGGAGAAACTGCATGTGCAAAGGCTTGGAGCAGAGACAGAACAAGGAAGGCTGGGTAACAAGAAGTAGATCCAAGTAGCTGGAGAGGTGGCTTGAGAGGAGGCTGTCTGAGGGGGGTGGGATGGGCTTTGATGAAAGTGTGGAGGAGGAGGGGCGAGGAGGTGGACTATGTGGCGTTGTTGATGGTGGTGTGATGTGTAGGCAGGTGAGCTTTCTGTGAGGCCAAGGAGTAGCTGGAACTACCTGTGGACCCCACGGTCCTTCAGAGCCCTTCCAGCTGCAGCTGGAGACTGCGGAGAGGGTAGGTCTGGGGGAAGAAGACGTGCAAAAGGCTGGGCTGCAGGCTGAACAGCTGTGTGGATGGGTGCCCTGGCATGAAGCAGATGGAGCACACGCACCATATCCTAACCTTCCCCACATCCCACTGAGGATATTGCTGTTAACCCACTTAACAGATGAGGAAACTGAGGCTCAGAGCTGTTCAATCACTTGCTCCAGTTTACACAGAACACTTGGGCTCCACAGTCTGAACTCTCAACCATTACTCTCTATTGCGTCTCAGCTTCCTAGAACAGTCCTAGGATTAAATGTCAGACTCTTAGCCACATGCTTGGTTTCCACCAAGTGCCCCCTCGGTGGGAGATGTTGTCAGTCTGGGAAGAATTCTGGGCCCAGGATAGGAGGTGGGCATTGGCTGGGTATTTTAGGAGGGCCTGAATAAAGAAAGCCAGAAGCGCAGAAATGGCTGTTGAGAGTCTCAAGGGGTGTCTCCACTTTGGCACTGGGGCAGAGACATAACTTTAGGAGCCACAAGAGCCTGGAGATGGCTCTGCAGGGGAGTTCTGAAGTTCTGCTCACTCTGGAGCCAGAAGAACTTGAATGCAAACCTCAGCCCTGCCTCATCTCACTTGAGCAAGTATGCTTACCTGAGTCTCCGTACCCTCATCTGTAAGGGAGCAGGGGAGGGGGCTTAACACTTTTAACAGATGGAAATATTCCAAAAGGTGACAACAACAGTCCAAAGCTGAATTCTCATTAAGGAGGGGACAGTGGTTGAACCCCTGCCCCACCTAATCTACACATAGCCCAAGACACAGGACACAAAGCACAGTGCTGGAAAGAGTTCCTTTATTTGGGGACAGTGCACAGGCCAGGTTGGTGGAAGAGGCAGGTACAGACCCAGTGTTAAGCTGGGGGCCTGTTGGGGGCCCACAGAGATGATGGATGAGATAGGAGGTGGCTGAAGGATGTTCTCAGCTGCAGGTACCAGGCCCAAGACAGAAGATATTGGACAGAATGTCAGATATTGGGCATTGAGACTGCTGGGTGCCTGCAGGGGCCGGAAAGTGGTGGCCAAAGGTTTTCCCACCCCCAGTGCCCACAAGGAGGGCAAGAGGGCAGCCTCTTCGTCCTCCTTCCCCTCAGTGTGAAATCCAGGCCTGAAGGGGGTCAGATTCTGCAGAAGCCAGACAGAGAGGGCACTCAGGGCGGTGGCTCTGCCTCAGCCGGGCCAAGGACTCCCACCCCCAGAGAGCAGGCAGCCCCTGGAAGAGCAAACACTTTAATGGAGGCTGCGGTGACCCACCCCACAGCACACATAGCACACGGGGGCCTCTGAGCAGCATCCCTTCTCAGAGGAAAACCAAACTGCACACACAGCCAAGGTCCTTCCCGTGGCCACAGAGCTGCAGGCCAAAGTCTCGCCTGGGCTATCACCTACTGGTTCTCCTCCCTGCTGGCAGCATGAGGGGACAAAGACAGATGGGCTCAGCAGGGCTCTCAGACACCAGGCCCAGGCTGAGTCCTGGCCTCAGCCAAAACTCAGCACAGAGAACCCACAACTGGAGGAAGAAGGGGTACGGCTCACATGGGGGACATTGGGAGGGAGGCCTTGCACTTAGGGCTGCTCCACTGAGAGGACAGTACACTGGCACTTAAGGGGACCTGAGGGGCAGGAGTGGGGTGGGACACTGCTGCTTGGCCAAGTACTCACAGTGTCTGGTAGGTGCTGTCCTTGGCCTTGAGGAAGCGCAAGACGAAGAAGGCCACTGCCTGTAGGCTCAGCACAAGCACAACGCCACCAATGAAGCTGGCCCCGTCAAAGCCAGGGTTATGGGCTTCAGGGACAAGAGGAGTTCCTGCAGGATGGAGGTCATAGCAGGCCACCAAGGACTAGGATGCCAGGCCTACCCCAGTAACCAGCACAGGTTACTTAGAAGCCCCAGTCCTCACTATGGGAGCCTGGAACAGTAGGCTCAAAAGTTTGGCCGGATCCTGTGGGCAATTGGGAGGTACCTGGTGGGAGGGACATTGCCTGGCTGGGGAGGGCAAGGCCTTAGCTTCAGCCCTGGCCCTGCTTCCAAACTGCTCTATGGCTTGATGCTTCACACCCTCTCTGGGCCTCCTGATCACATGGGCCAGATGGCAACTGAGCTCCCTTCCAGCCTCCCTCTCCCACACTGGCCCAACAGGGTGAGGATGGATCTAGAACTTAGGCATCCAGACTCCTTCGAATACAGAGTCTCTTTCAGTCTTGGGTCTCGGGATTCAAAGCCCAGATATAGATGTGGTCCCCTTTTAGGACTCCTAAGCCCTGAGACCCTGAAGTCACTGTACGTTGGAACCCTTACTTAGGGAAGGAGCAGAGGAGGAAGAGGAGGTCCACACCCCACCAAGTAGAAAAATGGAGACTAGACAATATAGGTCAGAGGGAGCAGAGCCCTGAGGGCCAGGGACCTGTCCAGAGTCACCTCACAATTAGGACGGAGCCAGACTCACACAGTGTCCCCTAACCCCTTTCCCACCTTAAGGCCCAGAGTTGCCAGGCTGTGCCTGGGCAGCTCCCAGCTGTGCCACGTTAACCATCAACTCTCACCACGTATTTGATTTCAGGCCTTGGGTCTGGTGCCCAAGGCAGGGCTAGTGGTGAGAGATCATTCTGGGGCAGTGGACAGGGGCTCAGGTAGGAGTTGGGTCCACCTCCCAAAGGGTATAGCTTATGTAGGGGGTGGTCTGAGAATATGAAGGGCAAAGGGTGGTCCTGGCTGCAGCTCAGGGAGCCCCAGAGAAGGACACTGGGGGAAGAGGAGAAGAGGGAAGATATGAGCTGCACAAGACCGACCTGGGGCTCAAGCTGGAGGGAGCTGAGCCATCAATAATTCAGCCTCCAAGATCTCATTTCTGGCTTTAATTAACCAAGAGCCTCTTCAGCCATCCCTGCCAAGCCTGCTGACCTCCAGACCCTGAGGGGCAGTGGGGACCAAGGGGTGTGGCTTTTGCCTCTTCTGCCAGGAACCTGCTCTGTGACCCTCTCTGGAGCTGGAGGTTGCAGTAGGTGGTCACTGAGGACATCTCATTGACAACCTAAGCCATACACACTCAGCACCAAGAACAGTTCCTGAGAGGGTCACTCTTGGTTCTGTGCTGGGGAGGAGGGATGGGAAACATCATCTTGATCACCTTCCTTGCATCAGACACTGACCTAGGCGCTATATATCCCCTCATAAAATCCTCACAGCCACTCTGTGAGGTGCTATCCAACCCATTTTACAGATGTGGGAACAGGTTCAGAAGAAGTCACAGGGCTGAGGTCACAGAGCACATCAGTGCCTGAGCCCAGTTGCCTTTCCCTAAACCTCTAGTCCTCCCACCACCCCATTCCCCCAGGTAGTACCTACCTGTTGTGATTGTCTTTGGTTCATAGGTGGGGTGGTGGTGGGCAGCTAAAGAGACAGGGAATCAATCATAAACGAGCCTTCCATCCCCTGACTCCCATCAAGACCCCAGTCCAGGCCAAGTTGAACTTCTGATTCAGATCAGATCCTCTGTTCTAGGTCCAGATCTGTCCAACATACTTTCAAGCCTTAGTTCACCCAGTTCCTTCCACCAGACATGCCCTGTCTCCATCTCTACCTTTAAGAGTCATCTCTGATGCCACCTCCTCCAGAAAGCCCTCCTCTCATTCCTTTCTGAACTTCCAAAGTCCTCACTATGCTTTAAATTGGAAGAACTAATTTACCCCCTTCATATGCCTGTCCTAGATCCTCCAGCTATACCAATTTACAGATGAGGAAACAGGCCAGAAAGGAGAAGAGACTTCTCAGTGAGCTAAGGCAGAACTGAAATTGGACCCAAGTGTTGGTGGGCATGGTCTCCTCCCCAAGAGACATGAATTCCTTCCTGGATGGCAGGCTCTGGCTACAGACACCTTAGCCCCTTCCCCCCGCCCCTACTTGGCTTAGGCCAGTGGGAGCCGCCTTACCTGGACATGACTCTGAGTGGTTGTAAACAGAGCAACCCTTTTTGACCACCTCGGCTTGGGCCACACAGTGTCCTGGTGGGAGAAGGTGCAGGTGAGAGAGTTGGGGAGAGGGGCCAAGGCTCTGGGGTTCAGAACTGGGACACTCAACTTGGGGAGGGCTGAACTCCATACCTGGCTCCTCCAGCCGACACTGCTCCCACACGCAGCCAGAGAGGTTGTGTGCTCTGTCCCCCTCCACACAGTGTTCACAGAGCTTCAGCTGTTTGCAGGCCCCTTGGACAGCTGGCCAGATGTTCATGCGCAGCAGGGCTCCACGCCCAAAGCCTCGCGCTCCTTTACCTGGGAGTGGGGTAGGAGCGATTCCTTGAACCCAAGCTGCAGCCCTTCTTCCCCACTACTGTGGCTCTCATCCCTCTACACACAAACCTGGAACCCCTAATCCCCACTACACACCTGGAGTTTCCACAAACACATGGCTACACATACCTAGAACCTCCCAGAGCTTCTTTGCTTTGCATACACCTGGGATTCCCAGATACATTTGAAGCTACTTCCCCACACACAACTGAAGCTCCTTAATCCTCTACACCTGGAGCCTATATACATACACGGGACTCCACACACAGCTAGAGCCATCTTCACTCACCCCTGGAGCCCTGCACAAGTCTAGAAACTCCTCGCCCGGCCTTCTCCCCCGTCCCCAATCCCTGACTGCTCCTGGGCAGGCAGCTGGGTGAAGAGCACCCTCTTCCACCTGTCCCTGTCCGGGCCCCTAACCAGACCCTGGCTCTCGTTACCAGCCACAGCCAGCTGGGCACACAGGAGGAGGCAGCAGCAGCCGCCACAGAGCGCAGCCCGTAAGGCGCGGGGTCCCGGCGAGGCCATGAGCGCGGGGTAGGGGCTGGGGGTCGGCAGAGAGCTAGTGTGGCGCGTTCCTTCTGAACTCGGCTCCTCCAAGATGTACGGAACGAGACCGGGGCAACAGGGGCGTGGCCTGGTGGGCATGGTCAGGCAAAGACTGGGCCAGTGGCGCAGCCGGGGGGGCTTGTTGG